TAAGGAAAAAAACAGATATTTTTCGCAAGGAGAATAACCAGTTAACAAGCTCTAAGCTTGATTAGCTCATCATTACGTTTACAATATTTAAGAGAATGACTTACTTATTTTGGCAAAAGATTACAATGGAAACTTAGCGTTAGCTGAAAAATAAATCTTAATTTTTTTCACGTGAATTTGATATTTTTTAATGTTAACTCATACAGGAAATTCCGAGTCGGCTAAATGAATAAAATGAAAATTCTATGTTCACTATATGGGTTGAGTCAATAGAAACCAAGCAAATATTTTATTTAAAACTTTAAACAAGAATTATTTAACAAAAATTTAATCAAATTCAATAAAAAATTTTTTATACAAGTTCGTAAAAATTATGTAAAAAAAATTTTAAATTTGATCAAGTTTTTGTTAAGTTATTCTTGTTTAAAGTTATAAAAAATTTTATAAAATATTTGCTTAATTTCTATTGACTCACCCCATATACATAAATCTTTAAAATTTGTGTGCGAAAAGAAAAATCTATGTACGTAATTATCTTAAGCGCATGTTCAATTTTATACACTGGTCGGAGTTCATCGTTCCCTATCATTTCCCCGAAAAAATTCCACCAATAATCATTCAATCGTTTTTACAATGATTGTTGGGGGATTGTTGTCGGAGAATGAAAGTGTCGGGGATTGAAATGAAAGTGTCGGGAAAATGATTGTTTAGTGAAATTTTCTCGGGAAGTGTTTGTCGGGGGAAATGAAATCATAGCCATTTATTAAGTGCGTATTAGAGATCTGCAGGCCAAACCTGTGCCCATGCCTAACAAAATGCATAGGCAAGACACAGGCACAAAATTTTGGCACCTTGTGCCAGTGCCTTAGTAGTGCCTGGTATTCTGTTCCCATTCCCATAATGTGTCTGACAATTTTGTATCTATGGGCACATCACGGCACAAGGTACAAGTTTCTGCCTGGTCTGATGCCCAATATGCCTGGCATAGACATTTGCAAAACCCTAGTACATACGTACAAAATGCCAAGCTATCGGCCGATATTGCTTATGCCAGCTCAGTTCCGGTGAATTTCCAGCCTGGAATTTTAATTTAAATCAATATTAGAACAAGAATATAGTCAACACTTTTATCATGATTGGTTTAGACACCGTTTTTATTTTATTTATTTAATTTGACTGTTATTTACCGAATTTATTGGTTGAATTGACCGGGAAATGCCAATATTCATTTATACAGTTGAACCACCCAAAGCTAATATGTACGGTGGACAGGATTTGTATCAGTATTGAGAGGTTATCAGATTTGAAATCATCATAAATTATTAGATTAGAAATATATAATAACTTTCCCGGGTAACCCGGATATTTTCGGGTAGCGATTTTCTACGAGTACAGTCTCTAATTTATACCAGCATTGTTTTATACAGTCATTGATTGACTCGTAGAAAGCAAAAATATATCGTTAGATGCTAGTGAAACAATCCACTTTACGCGTATAATGTAAATTTATGATGAGATAGACTTTAGGCATTCGTAATGTCAACTTTGGGAATGCGATCTGTGCTTTATAATAATATAGCATGATATCCTCAATGCTTACAACATTTTGATATTAGGGTGCATAGTTTTTTCTTCAAGTACTTATATTGTACCAGCAGATATTTTTGGCATTTTAATTTCCTTGGTCCTTTTTCGAGTCTTTCAGCAAACAGGTACCAGCATTTTTTTTTTTCTTGATAAGTTTGGGTTATACATTTTTCCTCCGGTTTTTCAGTTTTGATTCCTTAAACCTTTTCGCAAACCACATAAGTTATTTATTGCTCCCGTTAGCTTAATAGCGAAATTTTTTAGTGGAAACTTTTTAGGATGGTAATACTAGTCTTATTTTATGATGATGCCACAATTTCACCGAAGCAAGTGGTGAAGTATTTTAAACTACCGGATAAAATACCTGGGTCTAGCACATTTCACCAATATTAAAACCTATAATAGACCCGCAGGTCTCTTTTATTGGTACGGATCTGATAATTGGAGTTAATGATACAGTTGAACCTCCCGAAACCGATCCTGTCGAAACTGATAACCTGTATACTGTAAAAAATTAATCTAACAAGTCTGTTTCTGTTATATAAATCCAATAGTTTATAATGATTTCAAATTTGATATCTCAATACTGGTACAAAATCTGTCCACCGTGCATATCAGTTTTGGGAGGTTCAACTGTAGTTAAATTAATACTTACCGTATTGGCGCGTAATAACGCGCATCTGCGCGTTATTTCGAGACCCTGCGCGTTATTTTGGGACGCGCATGCGCGGTAATTCATTTTGACAAATTTGGGTTATAATAGAAAGTTCTACTTTTATTAATGAACTTAGCCTGAAAAATTCGATCAAGATATGTAATATGGTACATTTAAGGGGGGACGCGCATGGGCGTTATTTTGAGTCAAAAAAACAATTCAAAAAAGTAGGAGTTTCGAAATAACGCCCATGTGCTTTATTACATGCCAATACGGTATTTCTATTTATATACGTGGCAGTTTACGGTTAACAACCCAATTTTTGATTTTAAAGAGCGGCAGTTTTAATTAATGACTTCATCTTTTAGCAAAATTTACAGAGCAATCCCAAAACCCCGGTCGGAGTTAGGGTTAGGGTTAGCAAGACTATTAACAGGACCTACATATACCAGCTGGGCATTTTTACTTGATTTTACTTAATGAACGGCTACGGCTTTATTACGTAGTAAAATTTTTGTGATCTTGGCAAAATTGATTCCGGCTCAGCCGACCAGGATTCTGATGCATTCCTAGAGCTTCGTATTCGTTATTCGAATAATATTTGTATTTGGCAAATATTCGAATAAATGAATAATTCGAATAACAATAATTTTCATTATTCAACTTCAGTCATTGGCTGATTTACACATAGTAACGATTCGAATTCTGTTAGGAACATTCGAACAGATATTTGCCGATCTAAATTATCCGTAAGCTCTATGCATTCCGACCCGGGATTTCCCTGTATGAGTCATATTTATTTCCGTGACGATATCATATGATTTATATAGCGATAGCCCAACTATCATGTGGCAGTAAAATTAATGTGCCTGGCACATTAAATTTTACTGCCACATGATTAGTGTTTCAACCCGGGTTGCCTGTTGGTTTACCCGCAGCTTAACTATATTTGTAAACAAAATCCAAATTATCGTTCTTAAATTGATATGAATTATTGCGGTTTGCATTATTTTTGTCCCCTATGATTAATTTTTTTGATTAAAATGATTGTGGTTGTGATTGCGATTGCTAAAGCCGGCCAATTTATCATAAATCTGAGTTTGCGTCAAGCTCAAATTGGCTGGCTTTAGCGATCTCAATCACAATCATTTAATCATAAAAAAATTAATCATAGGGGTCACAAAACCGCAATAAATGAATTGATAATAAGTTCTAATTCGTACAAGAAAAATCTAAAATGCTTATCATTAAATTAACTATACAGTTGTTTTAATAAATTTTGGAACATCTGGTAAAAAAATTAATAATACATTGCACAAACAAACGCCAATAAAAAAAGGTTTTATATGAACAAATTTATAAAAAAAAATCCCAAACTGAGATTTTATTTGTAATTGTCGCAGCTGCAATGAGAATTATAATCAACAAAATTAAAGTAAAATCTATACATTACTTTTTTAAATTCGCGATAGAAAATATTTTATTATTAATAAAAAGTAGGGCAAATTTTTATAAGTATTATTAATAAATCAGTAGATCTCTTGAAGCTTTAATAAAAGTTGTAGATGCAATTTTTCTGATTTTAATGGTAGTTAAATCATTGGTGGATCGCGAGATATAATTATCTTTATCTTCGCGACCATATAAGATTTCTTTGCTGCAAAGAAATTTTAGATGACTATATCTCGCGATCCACCAAGCCGATTTTGATGATTTAACCACCATTAAAATCAGAAAAACCGCCTCTACAACGTTTATTAGAGCTTCAAGAGAGCTTTACTTGATAGAATGCTGATTTCAACTTATTTGAGGTGACTAAATCTATATAGCACTAAAGCAATAACGAATATACTTATCATACGTAATCGAACATACCGAAATCACAAACTTAACGAATCCTGTGTTGACAAATTTGATGTCCAATTGGTTTTGGACATATGTCCAATTGACTTTGAAACAATTGGACATAGTAGACTTGTCGAATCGGCCATATAATCATTCGTCAATTTTTTACCAGATGGCAGTCTTATGAAAACAGTTGTTTGTACCGAGGTAAACGTTAATCAACCCGAGTTACCCGCGGATTGATTCACTATGCTAGCTTTTGGGCCTCGAAGGGGTCCAGAAATGGCAACCGTATTTTGCGTAATGATGCTTATGGGCGTTATTTTGAAAATTGTATTACTTGAAAATGACATGCATAGCTTGTCCATACGTGTCTCGAAGTAACGCACATGCTTGGATAATGTAAATTAACCAATTACACAAATGTTTCTTATGCCGGCGATCAGTCTTTAACTCAAAATAACGCGCATGCGCGTACTCCTCGAAATAACGTACATATACTCAAAATAATGCGATATCAGCCAGGTAAGCAAGTTATTAGTACGTAGCATTTAATAACAATGACCAGACTGCCAAATAATCAAGTTATTTGGTAGTTTGATCATAGTAAACTGTCGGATAACATTTTGATGACATCATCAAATGACGACGCAATAATCACCAAAAAAATTCTAGTTATTTAGTCGTCGTAAGCTACCGGATAATACTTTATTGGATCTTACGCAACCAGATAATGAATTATAATATTTTACACGACATCTCATTGTGAATTGAATCACCCTTAGCTGAAGCCAACGCGGATATTTGCGTCTTCATTATGATTATGCCTTTAAAAGCCTTAAAGGAATTGTTCCATATGCATTAGACTTTGTTACCTTAACAAAGATTAGTAATTTGCTCGTCGCACCTCTCGTTACCTGAATCTTGGCCTTTCAACTATATTTACTGCAAAGTATCGATCCCACTGTCGAGTTCCTGAAAGTGACCCTGAAGAATTTGTATCTTTGAATTAAATTTTTCTTTTCAATATAATACTAATAAATATATAATACTTATGACTTCATAAATTTGCAATAATGTGCGGTATACTAGATTTATCTTTTTTTCAAAATAAAAAAACCGTAATCTTAGTTAAAACAATAAAGTCATTTTTTATTTGAATATTTGATGAAATAACAATGTTTTAGAATGAACGCACCTAGTGATGTGAGCGCAGTGCCGTAATTTATCATTATTATAATGATTACGACAAATTACGGCATTGCGATCACACTAAACGCATTAAACAAAGGTGTGGAAGTATTAAACATTAAATACACTTTAGCCATTATTATTTTTGTACATAAATTACATTACCAAATTTACATTTTGATTTGATTTCAAACAGTGACCATACTATATTATCCTTTATTTACATAATTATCGAAAAAAAAACCCTTATTCATTCATACGCAAATTTTTAAAAGTCAGATTTACAAAAAAAGGAAACAATAAAAGTATCAAGATGAAAATTTCAGATTATCGATAGACTTTAGAAATATCTAAAAAGGGAAAATATTTATAACTCCATTGTTTGTAGCAGAGAAAAAAAAAAAACATTTATAAAAATATGAAGATTTTAACTTGCCTCATTTTTTTAACATGCCAATTATTACCGGTTATTCATGGGCATATATATCTTCTAATCATCATCTACATCGTCATCTTGCCGTCTTGATCCTTCTAAATCGGATCGTGTGGAGGACAAAGAATTTGAATCTTCATTATCATCATTTATACTAGAACAATCGGGAATATTCTTGTTCTTACCATTACTACTTTCCGCAATAGGAGAGAATGACATTCTGTTTGATGAATTTAAAGAGGATTGAGAATAAGGAAGTTGTTGTTCATAAGGTGAATGTTGCTGTGATGTGGATTGTTTCGGAGATTTTTGTTGCGATGTTGTAGAAGTAGGGTATGAAGGATGAGCCTGAATACTAGAAGAACTACTTGCATATCGATCGGAAACGTTTAAAGGAGCCAACGAAGGTAAGGACACTGCTGGACGTGATGCAGCTGGAACTATGGGCCCACTGTTATAAGTAGATGATGGCATTGCTGCTTGAGTTGAAGTAATTGTTGATGAACGTGCAGAATCTTGTGATTGCGATACTGTAGGAGGATGAACAGCCTTAGCGCTTGTAGAGCTTGAAGCGAAGCTTTGCCCATAAGTCTCATGAGACGGGTACCCAATTTCATGTTGATATCGAGGATGGTCATACAGATCATGCCGTGGTGGATATTCATGTGGACGACCAGGATGAGGATAAAAATGGGCAAAGGCAGATGGTGGAGCACCATACATACGAGGTGGTGGAACGCTGGCAACACCACGTTCAGCATTAGATTGAGATTGATGTTGTTCAGTAGATAAAAGATCTTGAATAGGAATTTTTGAAGGGTTCTGCCCATGTTGACTCGAAGCTGGATCATTTGGACCATAATCCTGTTTCGGAGGAGGATGAATAGGACCCATCGGTGGAGGAGGGTATACAGGGTAATAATCGGGGTATGGATATAATGGAGGTCCATGTAATGGCACTGGAGGCGGACCACTTCCACGATAAGGAGAAGACAAAGATTCAGTGCTATGATTTGCTGGTGCACGATCACCATAATGAGGCCATGGTCGTGGTGGATACGGATTTGATGGATCATAACCGTAAGGTCTTACAGCTCCTGAAGATTCACCTGAAGGATGAGGTATTCTTGGTGGTGGATCATAATATCCCGGTTGACCTGGATACATTGGAGGTCTACCATATGCAGGTGGAGGAGGATATGGATAACGATGATGATCCGAACCATCTGGTAATGGAGGTGGATAATAATATGGATGATAACCGTATCTTCTATCATACGGATCATAATAAGGAGCATAATGCGGATCACCCATATACTCTGGGCGGTCGTGCCATGGAAGAGGTCGATGCATAGGATATCCATGCCCATATATAGCAGCATTATGATCATAATGACCATACGGATCATAAGGTCCCCGATGACGGGAAGATGGAGGAGTTTTTCTTCCGTGATCCCTTCGTCTATCCAATGACTCCGGACTTCTCCTTGAACGTGCTTCTTCTAAAGATCGCGTACGATCCGTCATTTCTGTTTCCGAAGATTCGTGACTATCATCATCATATTTTCCATCACCACGTACACGTTTCATTCTACTTCCATCTGCGTCTTCAAGTTGTTCTAATTCCTTTCTTTTGACTAGCCGTCTATTTGTAATAGTCATACAAAAATGATAATAAAGTCATGTTAGTGAAACAAGAAATGGGCTAGGGGCTATAAAAAGGGACAATTTGACAATAATAGTTGAAAAAAATTGATTTTTTTTCAATGATTATCTAATCAAATTTGATAATCATTGAGAAATTAATTTTGTAAATATTATTTTTGTTAAATTAATCCCTTTATATAGCACCTAGCCCAATTAATAATATAATATGAAAGAGAACATCAAATAACCTTCTTATCCTTATCTCTTTTCTAATTCGGATCTTTAGGCCTTGGTCAGCAAAAGATCTCGACAAAAAAGTTGACTCTATATTACGAAAAGAATGAATCAGTAAAAAAATTAAATAAAAAATTTTCACAGTAGAACTTATAATGATGTACCTTCCATTCCGGGAAATCTTTTTGCAGAATATACGACAAAGACTTCAGAAAAGATTGATTTGCAATGAAATACTTCACGTCTATAATCAAATATAATAAAGTAAATATTAAAACAATTACAGGACGTAAAAATAAAAGCAAAATTTGGCACTTACGAAACTATTTCAAATAGACTTAATTTAAGGCGATAAGTCCCTTCCATACGCACAGACAAGTCAGGAAATACAAAAAATCCAGCATCAGAATTATCGACATCTTTAAGATGGTATAGAGAAGAAACAACAGAACCGGTTGTAGAGCGTGTTTTTCCATCACGAAGTAAGTGTAATTCTTCATTTGTATCAGGAGCTACAAGGGATGCATACATAAAGAAATAAGGATTCTGGAGAAATGAACTGTAAAACCAAAAAGAAGGTTAGAAACAATCCATCACGTGAGATGACGCGTAAATTCCAATTATTATTACTTCTTTTCTGCTGGTGGTAGACTATCATCATGAACTTTTAACTGAATTATTGGAGGTGGATCTATAGGACGTCTGTCAGCTAAACATCAAATAATAAATGAACAAGTATAAATTTTATTATTAATGTATTAAAAAGTTCATATCTATAATCATGTGATATCAAAAGTAAATGACGCAATTCACATATCAATAGTACTGTAGAAAGGTCACATCTTTTAAAGATCCGCAGTATTACCGAAGGTAGAGATGTACTCCCAGATTCGCAGATTAGACGCGTATGATAGGTAGTAATATAATTTAACCTGATTTTCAAATATTTTAAATGCAATAACTTCGAACAGTGGATTGATAAAACACGTGAATTCCAAGCGGATAATAACTTTCAACTTCTTTTAGTAGCAATCGTCAAAGACGGAATGCAAACGATATGTAAAGTGTTTTATAACCCAATAATAACGAAAATTTCCGGTAATCACTTTCCAAGAAAATAAAGAACAATGTGGATGCTTACCTTTCTCACCAATACCACACATCCTTGATTGTTTTGGTTGTTGCCTGAGAATTAATTCATACCGACTAATTTATTAAAATTGTAAAGACATGTCAAATAATAATACTAATAATAGTAATAATTTCAAGAAATACGCATATATGCTTGCATAACATTAATAATTAAATCAAAAACAATATACGTACATATTTTGTCTATCATCCCTACGTTGTCGCACCGGAGCAAATTGATAGGATACATTATCGTCCATTTTGTATTATCCTTTGCGATTAAAGAAAGGGTGCGAAAACAAGTAATAACTAAAGAATTTTTTTTCAAAAAACCTAGATAAGGTATGACTAGATAGGTTGTATTGTATGGCTTCGTAAATTTTTTTTTCTTAAAAAAGGTTTAACTTAAAAGGGTACAGTATGGTAGGGTATTAAACTTTTAAACTAAGAGCCAGGTGGTTGAAGAAAAATCCAGAAACGTGTTTGGAATTTTTTATTTTTTTTTATTAATCTTTAAAAATTATATCTACTTGTAAAAATTTATCTTTGATTTTGGTTTGAAGCAAATAGCGGTACCGGAGCACCGTAACAGAAAAATAAAAATGATTTCTTATATATAGTGTATACAGAAAAAAGGAGGGTGGTATATAACGAAGTGAGAGAAATTAATAAACCGGGGAATAGGGTGCAAATCCGAAAAAATTAATCTAAAAGATTTTTAGTGGATTTATACGTATATGCAAAATTGTGTTGTTTGTTGAACCGACAGAAGAATATTATATAATAGGTCAGAGTATTTGGAAAGGTACAGTATTATTAAACAAATTGAAGTCATTTTTTCCCAATGATATTTTTTTTATATTTTATCTGCAAGTTACACGGATAATATCAGAGTCCAGGAAAGAAGGTTGTACGAATGTCCAAGCCAAAGTGTGCCCAGGTTACGGGACGGCTACCATGTAACTATGACAATCAGACAAATGACACGACAAAGAAATTGACAAAAAAGGTTAAGTACATTATTTTAACCGAAGATGTGGCGATGGTTCATCTGAATTTTTTTTACAGTACTTTGGTATTGTACAATTATAAAATATATACACATGTACGGTAATATAAATAAAAGATCAAGGGGACATAGTAAGTACCCAGGTGTGATACTAACAGTTATAAGAATATTGTTAGCTGTTTGGGGTGATTATACGACCGTAATACTAATAATTATATAATAATACAACGACAAATAAAGATTTTTATGTATTAGCGAAATTTTTCATAATACGTACAGTACCATTAACCCTGAAACTATTTGTAACGGTAACTAAATATGAGTATAAATACCTTTTTACATCCAATTTGCCATTCAAAAAACAACGTTCCTGATTCGCAATATAGATTAAATTTAATTGGTTAAGAAGCAATTGAATGCATTATACTATATAAATTAATACGATTAAATAAATACTCGTGGCTTTGGATTTTATATATCAAAAAAAGACATTTTAAACAATAAGTTGTGGCGCAGCAAGCCGTGCAGATATTTTGATGCACGTAACTAGTTATCGCGATGCTGTTCGAGACATTAATAATAATAAAAAAAAAGTCAATCAAAATGTCGCTGCAGTAAATTATACAGACATTAGAATTTTGAAAAAAAAATACCTGTATAGAAATATTTATTTGATGCTATCTAGATGCCGTTATTGCACCCAGTTTGATCGTGCTAGTCTTTTATTATATACAATGAGGGAAATTTAGATTTACCGTACGTACGTACTTAAGTACTTTTTAGTTTGCGGTTAGCGCCATGTTAGGAAACACAGCGCCGCAAGTTCACGATATATTACTTTTAAGCACCATTCTTTCTTAATTGGTTATGTCAATTGGATTTTCGGCATGCATTCTTTACGTACGCCTCTTAAAAATAAGCATACGTGCGCCTTTCAGGAATAGTTCATAAAATGAATGCACACACAACTGTTGCTTCGGTTCATTTTTTCCTATAACAGTTTAAACAAAGTGGCAATTCTTACAACCGAAAGTTAAAGCGATAAGTTTAGATTTTTCTGAAAGATGGGACTCCATTAGTACGTACCTTTACAGTACATAGATATTCTGGCTTGATTGATCATTTCTCATAGCAACATGTTTACTTATTTTTATGCATATTGACGTAACTTTCTTTCCCTATAGCATTATAATCAAATGGCCTTACTTTTCCATTTGTAGCATTAGAAGTCAAAAAAGGAACTAATTAGGTATGAAGTGTTTGAATTAGACTTAAACCAATGATCCAAACGCTTGAAAATTATTAAACTGACCAATTATATTATTATCATCTTTTGAGTTTATTCAATCTTATGATTATGTTTAGTTCATCGAACACTTCTTTGGTAAAAACAATCATACAACTTTGATATGGTTGATTACTAAACTTTCTAGTGCGTATATTTTTTGTTCTGAAAATTTCTTATTTGGATTTTATCCGTTTTAGATTTTTTTGCATCAGATATCCGGATAGGCTTTGCACGAATCTTAAAACGTACGTACGTACGTACCTTTGATACATTCTGAATTTCAGATTCGTATTTTATAAATTAATATAATTTAGATGATTTACTGAATAATTGTAAGAACAAATAACATTTTCGTGATTAGAAATGTTAATAGCGTTTTTAAGCTAGACTTCTCTGTATCGAGAATTTCTATTCTTCGCTATTATAGTATTATTAGCAACTTCTGGCTAATGCTTTTTTTTCTTATGCTGGAACTTTCCGTATTCATCTTGCAATCCAAGCCATATACGTAGATCTGCTTAGAACTGAAAAAAAAACTATACTGATATACGTAATGCATAGCGAGTCCAAATTTTGTTGACTGGCCATTAAAGGCAATGCAAGCCACAATTCGGCGTGGCATATTACATAAAAAAATTACCTGCTACATAGGCATAGAAACCTAATAACGATAATCTGCGAGTGTAAGTTTCAAAATTTGGGACATCTTGTTTGAAAACATTGAACCAGTATAATTTATAATAACAGCAACGTGTTCATTGGGTCCCAAATTCTTTCCAACCCACTCTAATTTACAGCCCCAGCCCCCATATCATCAAAATGTTTAGTCATTGATAAGTTTCGACTGTATAAACAATTATTCAGGGTTTACAGATCGGTTAATGGGCACTCTTGGTCAAGCTAACCGACTTGACCGGGTCCAGTCGTACGTATGTATGCACAAAAGCTTAAATACTGTACATATATGTAGTAATATATATATATATATTATATATCGATATTGTATCTGTGTAACAAAACTATTAAGAGACCAGGTAATTTAACCAATTTAAGACCAAGAATCCCTTCGACTCACGATTAATTTGACTTAGTGTACCCGTATATTCGTTACCGTATTTGGCTTTTAAAAAATCCAAATAGTTACATTTCGATGTTAATTAACGATCTTTGCTATTTGACGGACAGCCCGCGGAATGCCCGTATTCTTATAAATCTGCTTTAGCAAATGTAATAATCAGAACTACAAAAGCTGCAGTACTGAGTAAAAAAAAAAAATCTTAAAATGTTGGTTTATTAAAATTCTATATAATTATATGAATATAATACACATAACCAGTGGTGATCATCACCACCCCTAGATATATTTAGGGTTAGGGTTAGAAAATTAAGAATTATTGTTTTTTTTATATAATATAATATAGAGCTACTATAAGGGTCCGATAGGGGGTTTTTGGGGGTCCTGAACATTTTTACTTAGAGGACCCGATCCCGTTTACTTAGTACGTTTTTGAGATATAAGCACCTGGTGATGATTACCACTGGTTATGGTTAGTAAGATTCTAATTATATATACATATATATATATAATTTTAAAAAATATTATAGTTAATTTAAAATATTACACAGTAATAAAAATTTTTTAAAAAAATAAAAAGCAACAAAATTAGCTCAAATAATTAAAAAATATAAATATGTATAAATATACTGTAGTATATATAATTTAAAAAAAGTAAAATCTAAATAACGTCCTGGGGCACATTGTGCCCCCTATGTTTTAATAGTAAACAAAGACAAAGATTAATATTAAGGTTAAAGTTACAGTTAGAGAAAATTAGAAGAAAATTATTTTTTGTTAGTTATACAACAGGGGTACTTTAGTGAAATTTTAAGATATTAGTAATTTTTACTATATAGTAAGAGGTACAAAGTGTATAAAGCACCTAGTCTAGCTCTTTAAAAAATATAGTTGCTAAAACTAAAAATTTATTTTTTTAAATTTAGTTGCAATAATTAAACTAGTAAAAATAATATATATATATATATATATATTATTTAAAATAAGTTTATTAATTTTTTTTTAACTTTGGCTATTTTGCCAGGTCTTTATTATGAAGTGTTGCTCACACAAATTACATATTAGTAAGTAATAAACTTTAAGCCTATTAGCAAATAGCATATAAGAACTATTTCTAAATAATAGGTTCCATAATATATATGACTAATTCTTTTTCAAACACCTAACTTCACCTAGTTACTATTTAAGCACCTAAATGCAATAGCAGCACTATGTGCTGTGGAACTTGCAATGACCTCAATCTGAAGCTAATAACTAACTATATTAGGATACATGTTTCACTTATGTATTCACCAGACTTCAGTAATGCTACACTATAGCTTAACCTGTGCACTTGAAGTCAGGCTAATCATTGAACCTCTATACTAACTAGTACTTGTTGTGTTGCCATTACTGAGTTCGTATATTAAGCCATCTTTTAGAATGCTGCTATAACCTAATATATATCTCAAGCCACAACTTTCTTAATTAGTATGCTTGTTATTTACTTTTTACTCTTGTATGAGTTTATAACAAATTTCAGTATCTATATTCAAACTATCTTCTTACTCAGATTCTTTATTAGTTTTTTACTTACTTCCAGCTAGCAATTTAGAAGAGTTGGTTTGCTCAGGCTTTAGATGCCTCACAGTTTCTCTCTCTTCTTGGTTTATACTTTTGAAGCATATACTCTTTTTCTCTGGTGCATCTAAACTGGTGGTTTAGTTAGTATATCTCCTATTTAAGGATCTGGCTATTCAGTTTTTTGATCTCAGTCACTGGTTCAAATTTAGCCTTTCTGTAGCACTATCAAAGATCACTGCTATATCCTAACTCAGAACTTCCCAAATAGGTTTTTAGTTATTTCAGTCTCTGAATTTATTGTGCCAAAGCTCTCATTATTAGATAGTATAACTAAAATTATAAATTTAATTCTAGATTCAACTAATAATTGATAACTGTCAACTATAATGCAAATCTATTTTTCAAACTTTTATTGTCTGTAGGATTCAAACTCTGAACTAGGTGATAACTAGACTACTACACTAAGTCGCTACATCTCTTTAAAATAAATTTATTAAAGTATACTAGTAATATAGTATATTATATAATTTATAGTTGCTATATTTTTAAAAATTAATAATAAGGTTTAAACTGCAGATAAGTATTTAGGTTTACTTAGATATATATTTGAGTTTTTTTTTAATTTTAATTTTAATTTTTTTTTTAAGTAACCTTGCCTTTATTTATAAGGTAAGTATCTCTATTTTAACATAGATAATATTTATAATAAATATTATATAACTTACTGATTAGAACTAAATAATTTTGGCACTATTCAATTCGACTTATTGAGATAAATAAAATAGCATCAAAATTACCCAATTCCAATTACCAAATCATGAGATATCATTCATTGAAGTTTGGCTAAAAAAATATTTTTAATTTGATATTGTGCCTAATTTGATACAAGTAAATGTTTATAGTAGATACCATGTGATGTATTGATTTAATTCACAAGATTTTGGTACTATTCGATTCATCTCATTGAGACGAATTAAACAGTATCAAAATCTTGTAAATCTAGTCAATACATCATATATTATTTACTATAAATGTTTACCTGCATCAAATTAAATACATCAACCTTGAACTGTTTTGGCAAATAGAGTATCTTGAGAACTATTGGTCAAAACCAAATAATTTTGGTACTATTCAATTCGTCTTGATAAGACAAATTGAATAGTACCAAAATTATATAATTCTGATTATTGGTTCACAAGATATTGTTGTGTATTAAATTAGGAACTGTATTAAATTAGATATATTTATCTTATGAACTACTATATAACTATTATACAAAATTGTATTATATTTTTACAGTATACTATTCTAATTTAATAAAGACTTACCAGATATATACCCAATGTGACCTGCTATAACAACTATTCACCTTCCTTAGAATCTTTATTTTGTATCATATAATAATACTCTTTTAGTTATCAATTGGCTATTATATGCCATGTTAGAATTTCTTAACCTTTATTTCATACCTTGCTTAATGAAGACCATGCTGGCTTGTTACCTCAAAAGATTTACTCTTCAACTATTTTTCTTTCTCTTTTATTGTCTTAAAATTTCTCTTATTTTTTGCTCTTTCTGTTTTTTTATCTTTCTTTTTACTATCTTTAGAGTTTTGGGATTTCTATTCTCTTTGTCTAATCTATCATTTTCACCCAACTTTCTTTTCTTTATTTTTTTACTTTTTTTTTTCTACTTCTTTTTTTCTAGTTAGCAATTAATTTATACTAGAAGCTTCAAGCATGCTTATAAAACTGGCATTAGTAGTAGAGCAGTATGGCTTAAATATACTTGCTAATCTCTTGCTTTATCAAACATTATACAAATACTATTTCATCTTTGTTTAAAGATTAGACATTTTATTAATTTTTTTCTTATTATAATTTTTTTCTTGTAAGTCCTTGCCAAATACTGATTTCTTTATTTTTTGTATATTTGTTGTTCTAAGCTTTTTTTTTTTTTTTTTAACCTTTATTTTGATTAGATTACTTCTTTTTTTTTTTTATAATGTTCCAAAGATACTAATATTTGGTATACTTAGCTAAGTAGTCTTGTGTTTTTGCTTTGTATCAATATATCTTGTATATATCATCAAAGTAAATATCTATTTTTTTAAATTAAAGACTTGCATTATTAATAGTAAGTTATTTAAACATTTAATTTTGAAGACCCAATCTTTATTTTGTTCCATGCTTTTACAGTTCCTACCTTTTACTTACTTTAGATCTTTCTATACCCCTTTCTATATAATTACTTTTACATATTGTTCTGTATTTACTTATTTGTTAATACTTAGATTTTTTATTTTATTTTATTTTTTTTTAAGTGATTCTGCCTTTATTCATATGAACTGTTATATAATTTATATACAAATATACTAAATCTTTATAACTTGCTCTAACTTAATAAAGACTCATCAGGTTGAATACCCAATGCAACCTACTATAACAACTGTTTATCTCTCTTGAGATCCTTAACTTATTAAGGATTTTGTATCATAACTAATACCTCTCTTGATTATAAATAGGCCATTATATGCCTTGTCAGAAATATTTATAGTTTTTGTTGGTTTTAGCCAGTGAAAACCATGCTGGCTTCTTTTCCCATGAAATCCAATCCTCAATTATTCTGTCTCTT